CAGGCAGCGGAACCACTGAGGTAAATCCCTGGCCAATAAAAGAATTTTTTTAAAAAAATGACTTGCATTAGTCATTCTGAGAAGCTCTTTCTACCTTTCCATCTGGCAACACCCCTACCCATCCTCCATGCTTGCCCCATCCCTCAGTACATCGAGCTAGTACTCAGTACATCCTAGGCCACCTAGTTGAGCACTAGGTGGGGACCTAGTTGGGCACCAGTAGGGGACCTTGGAGCTTCCTCAGTTCTGCCTGTCCTCCCACTTCCACACATGCCCCTACTCACCAGAGCAGCAAAAGCTCATTTGCCTGACTCTAGCCCAAGAATACACAGAACTGCCTTCATCCACCAGGCTTGAAACCACCACTGGCTTGACTGGACCTGAGCAGACACCAAGGACACCACCCCAAGGAGGTTTGAGGAAATGGGCCCTAGTGGGATAAGGACCAGTCAATGTCAATGTAGGGCCAGGTCCCATGGCCAGGTGAGGAAAGAGGCATGGGAGTGGCACACTACTGAGCCTAGGCTGCCTGCCCCCAGGCCTGACTCCAGCAAGGAAGGCTCAGCAGGAAAGAGGAGCATCTGGGCATGGTGGTACACACCTGTAATCACAGCACGCAGGAGGCTAAGGCAGAAGGATAACAAGTTCGAGACCAGGCTGGGGTGCATAGTGAGTTCAAAGCCAGCCTGGACTACATAGTAAGACCTCTCTCAAGGAAACCCAAAAACCTAAGAAAGAAAGAAAGAAAGAAAGAAAGAAAGAAAGAAAGAGCAGGAAGCATCACTAGTCTTTGATGACGGCAGGAAAGGGTGTGCTCCTTCTAGGCCAGACTGGCTTCCAGGGGCACTGTTCACACTAGCCAAGTTCCTACTTCTAGAAGCCTGGCTTTATGATTTTATTCACTCAAGTCACCTGGGGAAGAGGCTGGGCATTCCACCCCTCAAGTCCAGGTCCAGGACAGCCAGAGGACTCACACAGTTGAAACAGTGACAACATCTGCTGGCTCTTGTGGGGAGGGAATATAGAGCAGTGATGCCAGCTACTCCTGTCACCATGGTCAATGCTGCAGTCCTAAGGAAGAAGGGTTTCATCATGAGAATCAATCCATGCCGGGGATTTAGCTCATTGGTTCCGGTGCCTGCCTCACAAGTGCAAGGTCCTGAGTTCAATCCCTGGTACCAAAAAAGAAAGAAAGAGAATCAATCCAGACAAGTGCTTCTATGCAAAAGTCAAGTCTGCCTACTCAGAGCACCTGAAGTTCATTATGGTGGTCAAGATCATTCACTGCAAGAAAATACTCACAGGGCTGGGGATTTAGCTCAGTGGTTGCACTGCTTGCTGTGCAAGCGCAAGGACCCGAGTTCAATCCCCAGTACCAAAAAAAAGAGAACATACTCACAACTTTGTGGCAATTCCTTCCACAGTAGATGCACATCCTGGAAACCATCAACCACTGCACTATCATCAAGATCTATGAGATTTCTGAAACTTCTAATGTACATATTGACAATGTCATGGAGCTCAGGACCCAGGCAACCTTCTCAAGTTCTGCTAGCTCTCCTTGGCCTTCACATACTCCCATGATCTGGACATCATCCACAGAGACCTCAAGTGCAAGAACTTTCTCTTTGACAAGGACTTTAACACCAAGCTGTCCAACTGGCTGATCCAAGTGCTGCCTGCAGGATGGGACCCAGCACATTGTCCTCAGCAACACAGATGTCAACTGGCAGATGTCAACTGGCAGCAGCACAGTGAAAGCCTGTTACTCATGGTTGCAGCCCCTCAAACTCAAACTCATGTCTTCTGATTCATTTTTTTTTTTTTTTGGTACTGGGGATCGAACTCTGGTCCTTCCTCTTGTGAGGCAGGCGGTGGAACCACTGAGCTAAATCCCCGGGCCTTTTCTGATTCTCTTGAGAGCTTGTTTGGAGGTTCTAGCAGGGGAGCGCAGCTACTCGTATACCCTTGACTGAGGAAATGGTCCTCCTCTATCGGGGGTGGTCGTCCTCTTCGGGAGGGACCCACATGGAGCAGTGAGGGAGGAGGGGGACACCCGCCTAGCCAGCCAGATCAGCCAAATCAACCCTGGCGATCAGTGGGGTGACAGATGTTGCAGCCAGATCCCCCTCACATCCTCTTCTGATTCTCTTAAGAGGAAGGGAGAGGGAAAGTACTGGGCCTGGTGCAAATGTAATACCAGGCCAGGCTCAAGGCCTGAGCATTGGCCTGTCCACAAGCTGGGGGCAAAAACCCAGCATCAGCTGCAGGATGTACCCAAGAATGAAGACAGGCTGACCGTGAGGCGAGCGCCTAGCACTGGGGATGGGAAAGCGTGTGAGGGTTGTGCTCAAATAAACTAAGGAGGCAGGTAGATGAAAGAGGCACAGGTGGAAGGGACAAGTAAAACCATTAATTAAACCACTTTGATCTTGTTCTATTAGCCTTCTTCCACTTGATAACAAAGAGCTTAATAACTGACCACCAAATAAACCAGGAAATATATACAAGAGTGCCAAGAAGGGTCACTGGGGTGGGGTCCAGGGACAGTGCTTAGGCATGGGCAGACTCATAGTGAGGTTTGTGGCAAGGAGAGGACTTATTTGCCTCTGACCTGTCCTTATCCCCAAAGCAAGGCAGCTCCATGCCTCTCCCTTGCTTCAAGTAATTCAGCCCATGCTGACCCCATTCTGCTCTCTCATACAGATCCTTCCCCAATGTCCTCAAACCCTAAGGGCCATTTGAGATTGATGACCTTGGTGGGCAGTCTCCCTAGGGAAGCCCAGCGGAGACCATTCCCTGGCACCCACCCCACCCTGTGCATCAGCAAGCCCCACACAGCAGCCCTTGGTGTGTGGCCCAGTCGCTTGTGGTTTGGCCACCATCCCTCCCCAGAGCATGCTCTCCGCACACTAAGGGCCTGACTTGGTCAGCACTTGACCCCAGGTCTCTGCCTTCCACCTCCAGGGGCTCCCTTGGGTTAAAATTGAACCTTTCCTTCGAACCAAAAGCACCCAGAGCCCCACCATCCTGGTCCCTAAGAATTCCAGCCCCAGGCTCCAGATCCAGCCCTGAAGGGTCTCAGGGCAGCCACCCAGGAGCTTGTAGGAATGCACTGTATGGGAGCACAAGTTGGCAAAGACTCCAGGCAGGTGCCAGGCCCCGGACTGTCTCCAAAGAACATCAGCACTTCGGGGGTGAGAGAATCCATGTAGGAAAACTGGAGCAAACAGCTCATTCAGATTTCAAAACATGATTCTGAGCAGAGCTCCTTGTGCACCCTTAGCCATATGGCCAGTGTACATTCTGTGATTCCCATCTGAGGCCTAAACACACTAGCATGGGAACCAGACATTGGTTTTGGACCCAGCTAGGCCTAGAGAGCAAGACCCCTCGGCTCCACAGATAGCAGGGTTATAGGTACAGCTGGCTGCCACCAAGTGAGGACCAGGTCTCCGTGTCCTCAGCCCACAGGCAAATGCTGGCCCATGCACACAGGACCTGCGGCTCTCTACAGCTCTATCTTGTCTCACACTGCAGCCTCAGGAGACCCAGTGGGCAGGGCCAAAAGCAGTTAAGGAGAGCAAACCACACAATGATGAGGACCTAGCCCCACCTGAGCTAGAAGCCAAGTGCCGAGAGGTAACAGCTAAGGCCACCAGGAAACTGACTCATGCTGGGTGGGGCCTGATAGCCCTGAAGCCAGCAAATCAAGCAGGCTAGGTCTGGCCTGCCATGCCTAGAATACCAGGTGACTCTGAAGAACACAATTCCAAGGGCTCCATTCCTCACTCAGAGGAACAGAGAAATGAGGTAAAATAGAAAGAAATAAAAAGAGCCAGGTGCTTGCTTTGGCAGCACATATACTAAAAAAGAGCCGGGCATGGTGGTGCACTCCTATAATCCCAGCACTCAGGAAGCAGGAGGATTGCCTCAAGTTTGAGGCCAGCCTGGGCTACATAGTGAGTTCAAGGCCAGGCTGAACCACACAGAGAGACCCTGTCTGACAAAAATAAAATAAAATAACCAAATATAAAGAAATAAATAAAAAATAGAAAGGAAACAAAGAAATCACAACTAAAATTTTTTTGTTTGTTTTTTCTGGTACCGGGGATTGAACTCAGGTCCGTGCACTTGCGCAGCAGGTGGCGAAACCACTGAGCTAAATCCCTGGCCCTAAAAATTGAAGTTTTAAGAAGAATGCAACAGCTAGGCATGGTGGCACATGCCTGTCATCCCAGGACTTGGGAGACTGAGGCAGGAAGATCACTATAAGCTTGAGGTCAGCCTGAACTACATAGTGAGACCCTGCCTCAAAAAATAACAACAAAAAAACCAAGACTGTAACTTCCAGGGCCCAGCCAAAGTTACCCAAGGCAATCCATTATCAGCATTCCTATTTAGGCACCTTCTCTACCAGACCCAAAATTCCTCAGAAATTCTGAAAGTCTATAAATTGATTTGAGAAAGATCTAAAGATAAAGGAACAGGGAGAGATAATCCAAAGAATGTTTAAATTATCCACTTTTTTTAAAAAATGGGTACCCTTCTGGGGGGTGAGCCACCTGTTCCCAGGGTTTCAACTCCAAGAAAGCATAATGTTCCCAGTTTAGGAAACAATTCATTTCATTTCTTTGAATGTCTGTACTCCACTCTTGAGTGTGTACTAAAATCTCTGCCTAATAGACTCTCTCTGTACCTCTTCTTGACTAGTCCTGCAAATTCTTTTTCTGCAACAGGAATTAGTGAACCGGCAAACACTATGTGGGTAAGGTTCCTCAGTTCAGCTTTGCAAACCTCCTTAGACCCTGTCCAGTGACATTTTCTCTTGGGGGAAAAGGAGGGATGTGCAAGCTCAGCTCAGAAGGCAGTTCTGGGAGCCACCCACAGCTTCCCCACCAAGGGGCCCTTTCCAGGGGCCCTCACCTCCTCAGACTTCAATGGAGGTCCCAGGTTGGCCCTGGGGCCCAGGTTCAGGGCAAGGGATGGAAAAGCAGCTGTACCAGTTATTCTTTAATGACAGTTCAGGTAGGGGTTAAATAGAAAACAGTTCCACCAAGGCCCTAGGAGGCAGCATTGGTGCTGCGCCCCAAAGGGAGTAGTGTATATCTTGTGCCAGCCTGGCTGCTGCACAGCACTCGTCATCTGTGGTTCCTGTGATCAACCACCTCTGGGCCCAGCCTTGGTCCTCAGCAGCTGGAGTCCTCTGTATTTCAGGCTCCATGAAGCATCTGTGGGCCCAGTCCAGACTGGCTCTAAAAGAAGTCCGAGGCTTTGTGGCGGACAGGGAGCTGCAGTAGGTTGTCCGTGATGGAGGCTGGGTCTTGTGTGAGAGGTGTGCGTGGGGCAGAGCCTGGAGCTGGTGTGCTCGTGGGAGTCTGAGGGCCACCAGCCGGGGTCTTAAGGTGAGTCGAACGTGCTGGGGATGGTGTGTAGCTGGCCCGCAAAGCACGATCTGTATACTTGCTGGCTGTCCTGCTCACAAGCCGCTGTAGAGCTGGGGACATGGCTGGACTTAGGCCTTTGGGTGTGAGGCTGGTGTGGAAGGATGGGTGAGAAAGGTGAGGTTAGGAGGGCTAGGTGCTGCTAGGAGCAGGGTCTCCCTCAGACCCTCAGATGCACGGTTATTCTGACCTGGGGAGGACAACATTTGGCAGCCTGACACCCAGGAGTGTGGCCAAGCATGAGGTCAAGCGGCAGTGCTGCCTTTGGCTGTGGGCCTGTGGCAGACTCCAGACCTCTGAGAATTAAAGTCCTCACCCCTCTCCAAGGGAAATGATGACATTGTCTCCATAGGGCTGACAGGTGATCACAGTGGGACAACGGTCCTAAAGGTGCTTCTTAGGGACAGATCAAAGAGGATGTGAGGAAAACAGGTGGAGAGGAGCCTGCAGTGTGGATCACAAGCAGCTATGCTCTGAAGCAGAGTTGCAGCCAGGGCAGCCATGGCAGAACCCTGTGGACTGCTTGGGCTCAGCCCTGTAGCTCATGCACCCACGTAGCTGGATACAGGCAAAGCAGGGGCAAGATAGGGACAACAGCTCATCCTCATCTTCCTTCCCCACCCCCTCACCCCCTTCACCTGAAGGCCTGGTGGACCCTCACCTGGCCAAGTTCTCTGTCACTCTCCGCAGGGCTTCCTGCTTCTTGGCCCGGTTCTTGGCAGCTGCCTCATTGGCCATCTTCAGGCCTAGCCGCTCCCTGCGGCCAGGCTCCAAGATCTACAAGGAAAAGGCATGTGAAAAAAAAGGCATATGAGTGGTCTGTATTCGTCCTGTCAGCAAGCCAGGCATCTCTCACCCAAAGGAGCAGGTGCTGTGGGTGCCAACCTCTCCCCTTTGGTGGGTACAATCCCAGAAACCCACCATCACCTCCCCCTGAAAGCTTCTCAAAAGCCTCACTCAGCCCTCCAGACCTGCCCTCCTCACCTATCCTCAATGGCCTCTCATGGCCAGGACCACCAAGCCATGAATCTCTGACAAGCTTTTAGGGAAAAAAGTGGGTCTTGCTTTCATTTCACACCCTCTGATTATCACAGTGAACATCTTTCTGCTTTTATTGGCCTTCTGCAATTCTTTCAAAACCCTCCAGATGTGAATGAGGCCTCTTTTTCTACAGAGGTGCTTATCTTGTTTTGTTCCTTACAGGAGCTTTATCTATCAATTAAATTAAATCATAACCAGGCATGGTGGCACATGCCTGTAATCACAGTACTTGAGAGGCTGAAGCAGGGGGACTGCCATGAGCCTGGGTTACATGGTGAATTCAAGACCAGCCTACACTATATAACAAGACCCTGTCTCAAAAATGAATACAATAATAATAATAAATAAAAAGAAATAAGCCATCCCATACAATTGGTTTTCAGTTACTTGGTTTTGTTTTCTTCATGACATTTTTGGCTGCACAAAAGTTCATCATTTTCATATACAGTAGTCCCCACTTATCCTCACAGGATATGTTTCAAGAGTCCCCAGAGGACACCTGAAAGCTGAAACAGTACCAAACCCTATGTATGCTATGTTTTTTTCTACTAATACCTATGATAAAGTTTAATTTACAAATTAGGGGCTGGGGATGTAACTCAGTGGTAGAGAATATGCTTAGCATATATAAGATCCTGAGTTTGATCCCTAGCACCACCACAAAAGAAAAAGAACAGGGCCAGGGATTTAGCTCAGTGGTTCCAGCGCCTGCCTCGCAAGCACAAGGTCCTGAGTTCAATCCCCCGTACCAAAAAAAAAAGAAAGAAAAAGAACAAGGGCCAGGGATTTAGCTCAGTGGCGCCATGCATGACTGCCTCACATGCCGAAGGTCCTGAGTTCAATCCCTGGTACTGGAAAAAACAACAACACCCCCCCCACACACACAAATTAGCCACAGAAGAAATTAAAAACTAATAATAAGATGAAACAATTATAATAGTATGCTATCATAAAAGTGACGTAAGCCTTATAAATTTATTTATATAAATCCCTATTAAACATTTTCAGACTGGAGTTGACTTTGAGTAACTAAAACCTAAAACCTTGGATAAGGGAGGACTGCTGTACCTACTACTTTAATTTTCTTTTCCTTTCCTTTTATGTTTAGAAAGTTCTTCATACCTAAGTAAAGGCTTGGGCTATAACTCAGCAGTGGAACACTTGACTAGCACGCACAAGGACTAGGTTTCATCTCCAGTATGGCAAGAAAAATATCAGATAAATATTCCTCCATCGTTTTCTTCTGTCCTATGGTTACTGTTCTTACATTTAATCCTTTCAACTTTCTAGAATTTATTCTGTTCTACATATCAAAGACCTAGATTATTTTAATTCCAAATACTCTGCTATTCTGCAAAATTTGAATGTCATCTTTATCATACCCTCAATTCTTACTTGGGCCACAGTTTGCTTTTAGAACCTGTCCTTTGCTATTGTAACACAGGCTCTAGGCACAATGGCACACTGCTGATGCACCTACACCCTGAGGATATGCTTTAATGTTTGACAGCACAGGTCTTTCTTGGCTACTCCTCTCTTAAGTTTGTTTTGGTTATCCATGCATCCCACACAAATTCTAGAACCAAAGCACCCAAAACCTCTGCCCACATTTTGTCTGGATGTACAGTACATCTAGAAGGCCCACCTGGCCTGGGTCAGGGAAAGCACAGTGCCCTTAGGTTGGTCATGAGGTAAATGTTCTCCTCAGGACTGCGGTATGACTCTACGGTTTTCCTTACAAAAGCCATGTAGTTGTTCTGTTTCTATTGGTACCTAAGTGATCTCTTTCTCTATCATATTTCAGTATGACCACTGCTGAATGTAACTGGCTCAAGATGATCTCTTGTTGTTTTTTCTTTTTTCTTTTGGTACCAGGGATTGAACTCAGGACCTGTGCTTGCAGGGCAGGCATGGTGCCACTGAGCTAAATCCCTGGCTCCCTTTCCCCCTGGTGCTGGGGATCGAACTCAGGACCTTGAGCTTGTCAGGCAGGCACGCTGCCACTGAGCTAAACCCCCGGCCCTAAGATGATCTCTTCTGACCCAGTCACTGAATCAGATCCAAATATTCATTCTTAACTCTATACCTGATTCTCTTTGGGTTTCCAAAGCAGATGATATAATCCACACTCTTGGCCTCTGCAACCACACAAACCTCTGCCTCCCTCTTGTGACCTTGGGACACCCCAGAGTCCGCACAGGTAGGAGCCTGAACAGAGGGACACACATGTCTCAGGGGTCTTTCTTCCTTCTCTTTTCAAACTACTCCAGTCAGTTTCCCCACAGACTCCCTGCAGACCAGGGCATCATGCCTTCCCCATGGCTCACACTTGCTCACCTACTCATCTGTGCTATCCTGGGCCACCAATTTCTATAGGCTGTCTGTCCTCCGCTTTCCACCCCATCTCAGGGGCATCCTTCATTGCTTACTGTAACCAGGAGCCCTGCTCTGGCAGCACATAGCTCTTCTGAGGACACAAACTAACTTCCAGGGTACTGAGGCCTGCAGAGCAGCTGGAGCTCCTGGTCTAACTCTGTGACCATCCTACCTCATCTGTCAGCAGCTATGGTCTCTAGGCCCAAGAAGGGCACAGGTTACTCCCTGCCTTGGTGGTGCCTTGGCCATACTCTTCCAGATCCCTCCTTGATACTCACTCATCCACTCACCCCGGCCTTAAGAGCTTGGCATTCAGAAGTGCCAGTGCTTGGCCCCATCAATTGAGCATGCTTTGATCAATAGCAGCTCAGTCTTGAGCCACAAGAATTCAGGATTCCTCAGGCATCCACACTGAGTCCCACCCTTCCTCCCCTCACCACAACCCACCTTGAAGGCTGGCCCTGGTGTCCTGTCCACGTAGGGGGTCTCTGACCCTTCAACTCTCAGTGGTGTGTTCTCTACCTCCCCCCAGGTCATCAGCGGGGACTCGTTCACACCTGCAGATGGAAAGACCACAGTCACCTCAGGCCAGGGGACCTGGCTGGGGTCACAACACCAGGCCTTCCCCCCAACCATAGCGTTACCCCTGTGTCCATCCCAGCTAACACCAAGGCCAGCAACTAGCCCTTTCTCCTTCCGTTAGACTCAGAAACCACGTTACCTCCATTCTCTGAGCAGGTAATGCCAAGATCATTGTGGGTCCATGGCAGGACAGAGGCACTTGGCCCGAGAAAGTTAATCAGCTAGGTCCCATTCTATTACAGGGCCAGGGCCCTCCTGGAGGTCATCCTTATCCCAAGAGAGGATACACACAGGGTTCCCAAGGCTCCCCAATCTCCCAGGATTCAGGGCACCCCTATGGACTCTACATGGCCTGGTCTACATCAAGCAACCAGTGCCTGAGAACACAGAGGCTAATGTGAAGAGGGCAGGGGGACATCATGGGCACTGAGGGACCAACCCAAGTGTCATCCGCCTATGCGAGGGAACTTCAGGCCTGATTCCCAGAGCCTTGCCACCCTACGGTGTCCTCTGGATTTAGAGCTGTGAGCACTGCCCATAGCACCCCTTCTGCTGACACCGAGGAGAGGACCAGAAGAGGAACCAGTTCCCAGGGCATCTCAGGTCCAGCCTGCCTGAGAGTCCAGCCCACCCACAGCCAACACCAGCTTTAGCACAAACCCCATTGCTCACCAGGGGCCGGAGAAGGGGTGGCAACAAATCCAAATCCGCCCACTCGGGGGGACTCCTGGGGAATGAGCTCCTTGCCATCAGGGCCCACCTTGCCCTGTTTGTGCTGGAATGAGCAAAGAGGCTAGTGTCAGGGGGCCCTCTCCCCAGCGGGCCAACAGCCAGGTGGACAGGAACACACTGCAAACACTTCTTTCCTTGGGGCAAAGCTGGGACTTCTGTGCAGGCAGCCCTCTTGAGAAGAGAGGGACGAAGGACCTCCACCCCGACAAAGACCTTGAGGTCTGTCAGAGTGGGTACCAAAGCAAGGAGTATTTCCCTTCTTCCCATCCAGGGAAACATGAGGGAGCTTGTGCTTTGTCCCTTTCCCTTGAGGCACTGCAAGCTTCCCTCTCTCCTGCCTCCACCCTTTAACCCTGTGATTACCACAATCACCACTGGAGGGCACACACTTTTCTTGCTCCCAAACTCAGAATCTCTTTGCTGCCTCCCCAAGCCCTGTGGCACTGCAGGCCACTCTCTGGGGCCAAGCTCTTTTCTGATACTTACTGGTTCCCCTGGCTGCTCACCTGACTTTACCCACAGCCCTGCCTGGTGTGGGGACGTGTGTACCCAGATAAGGCTGGCTCCCAATGCCCTCTTTTCTCTGAGGTGTATGCCATCAGGAGAACTGGCTCAGATCTGGGTTTCCAGAACAAATCTGACCAAGACAGTGTCCCAGTAGAAGCCTATCCAAGCTGACCAAAGACTCCCCTGCCACACAGGGACCCCAATCCTTCTCCCCACTGAGATTCACCAAGCTTAAGGATGGTCCTAACTTTAAGGAGGCACCCATGATGGCAGAGGCCATACCTGCCCTCAGCCACCTCTGACCCTGTGCATCTGCTGCCCCCACAGCATTACCTGGGCATTGAGGGCAGCTGCTTGCTGCAGCTGGGATCTGCTCAGAGCCTGGCTGAAGGGATCCCTCAGGAAGTGAGTGTTCTTATGCACCACTTGCCGGGGTTTCTTAAACAGCTGTTCTTCATCAGGGACACCTGGCAAACAAAGCAGAGATGGCACTGGTGTCAGAGTGGCAGATAGGCCACACCTCAGCCACAGCAGCCCTGCAGCCTAAGGGACAAGACCACACTCTTCCTCTCAGTCAAGTCACTCCCATCTGAACAGACACATGCAGTCTAGCTCACACTTCACACCAGTACACATGAGGAATCCCCCAAGGCCCACTGTCTGAAGGCCAAAAGAGCTAGACACATGCAACTGTATCCCTTGTGTCCCCATCCTGCCACCCAGCCTGTCCACTCACCCTCTGGATAGTACATGAGGGAATTCTTGGCCTTGTACTTCCAGGTCTCCACGCCGGCCTGGCTGTTCTCGATGGCCTGGTACTCTGCTGATGGGAGTTCAAGATTATCTTTCTGCCTCTACAATCACATGGGGAAAAGTGAGGGTCAGAGGGACTTCCAGGGACTATGCCTGTGGCCCTGAGACTCCCCCACCCCAATAGAGGAGGCCAATGTCCCCTAGCTCCAGAGCTACCTTCTCAAACTCCTCCTCAGCCTGGTAAAGCCAGGCATGGCGAGCCCGACTTTTCTCTTTGGCCACCTCCATGATCTCCTGGAAGGAGGCATTATCTTCGCTTGTGTAGCGGCTCAGGAAAACATCCAGGCTGGGCAGTGGCTCCTTTTCCTCCTCCTCTCCAGCCTCTCCTGCACAGGGGTTGCAGGTGGGGAGAAGACAGTAACACAAATGGCGTAAATCCCACTTTGCAGTCAGGAGAGATCAGTACACCAAGTTCTGGGAATCACACCACCCTACAAGCACTGGAATCCTCACCCCATTAGTGAGCTCCCCATGGGGGTGGAATCAAGACACTTCAACTTCCCAGGGCACCCTGCAGCTGCCTCTGTTCATCTGCCAGATGCCAAGAGAAGCATGTGATCTGCTTGATTAGGTGGGGTAAGGGTGACTCAGGAATTAAAGCAGGAGTTTGGCAGTTTCTTTTCTGCCAAAATTGTACTAATTCTAGGGGCCAGGGATTTAGCTCAGTGGTTCCACTGCCTGCCTCGCAAGCAGAAGGTCCTGAGTTCAATCCCCAGTACCAAAAAAACCCCAAAAAACAAACAAACAAAATTGTACTAATTCTATAGGGCCTACAGCCAAATCCCCAGAATGCTCCCTCCTTCCTGGGATTTTCTCACATCACCCTTTTTTTCCCTGGTATTTGGACTACAAGTGGGTGGTTGCCACTTAAGCATCTAGACCTGCCAGCTAGTCCTTGTGGCAGGAACCTCATGTGACCTAGGGGTCCAAATGGCGGCTCGGAGGTACTGGACCACACCAATGCCTCCTCTGCCACCATGGAAACTGGCATTCCTAGGCCGGGGATTTAGCTCAGTGGTTTCACCGCCTGCCTTGCAAGCACAAGGGACCGAGTTTGATCCCCGGTACCAAAAAAAAAAGAAAGTGGCATTCCTGTTGAGGTAGCACCCTGGTGCTGCTACCAATTTCAGTGAGGACATTTTTTTTTTTTTTTGGTACCAGGGATGGAACTCGGGACCTTGTGCTTGTGAGGCAGGCAGCGGCACCACTGAGCTACATCCCCGGCCCCCCTTCAGTGAGGCCAATTGAAAGAGATTTTTTTTTTGAGACAGAGTTTTGCTACAGTGCCCAGATACATCTTGAACACCTGGGCTCAAGTGATCTTCCCACCTCAGCCTCCCAATTAGCTGGGACTATAGCTGGCACCACCAGATCCAACCTGAAGGGGAGCTTTTTCTTTTTTTGGAAACAGGGTCTCACTGTGTAGTTCAGGCTGGCCCTGAACTCACTATGTAGCCCAGGATGGCGCTGAACTCCCAGTGATCCTCCTGCCTTAGCCTCCTGAGTGCTGGAATTAGAGGTGTGTACTACCACACCTGGCCTCTAGTGACAATCTTGACCACCTGGTACATGCTAGACTGTCCAAAAAGCTAGTAATCAAAAAGGTGAAAACCCAAGACTAGGATCAAAAAGGTGAAAACTCAAGCCTTAACCACTAACCATCTCTGAGAGAGAAACTGTTGCCTTTTGCAGCCTCAGTTTCCTCATCTGTAAACATGAATGGCAGGTTTCTATCACCTAAGTTATGAAAAGAACTCCCACACTGACTGACATGTAAGGTGTTTCTATATAAAAAGAAAAGAATCAGCTGGGCATGGTAGTGCACACCTATAATTACAGTACTCTGGGAGGAGGATAACAAATGTGAGCCCAGCTTGGACAACTTAATGAGACCCTGTCTCAAAATAAAAAATAAAAAAGTTATTTGGGGATAACTTTTAAGAAGTTGGGAATATAGCTCAGTAAAAAGGCCCTGGATTCAACTCCTATACCCAAAAGAAAAAAGAAAAAGGATCTTCAAATTACCCTGAAGCTCATGTTACATTTTAATAAAGACCCAAGCTCCAAGAATGACAATGACAATGTACTGATAACAGGAAGAGCCAGGCTATGAAACAGAAAATATAATGTTCATTTGAACACAGTGGACTTCTGTGTTAGCATACCATATAATACATTAGAACTTGGTTGAAGAAAAGTATCTTGTCCACCTCTGCCTACACTAATATTCTACTGCTGAAGAAAAACAACAAATGAGCAAGAAGTTCTGCAATTTAAAGTACTCTTATATTCAACATAGCTTAAAATGCTCTTTCCTAAAAAGACTTCCTTCTAAAGTCAGGGTGTGTCCTACACACCCGTGTGTCTCATGTTCCAGTACATACTTTAAGACAACCATCCATCTGTTCTACTTATATCTGTTGAAGGCCCACAACACACCACGTGCTGTTTCACATGGGAAGCAACTGCTCTCATGGAGCGAATGCTAATAAGGGTGAGAAGCAATAAACCAAAATCCCTTTTAAAATATTATATCCTACAATGAAAAAAAAAAAGCTAGCAATCAGTAAGACTCATCAGTAAGACTTACAACACTGTAAGACCCATCTCAAAAAAACCTGGAGTTAGACCCAGATCTTTTGCATCCTAGAACAATTCTCTCTAGCCTCACAGGTACATATTTAGGAGATCCCTCAGAGACAAGATGTGACCCGCAACCCCTGGGCCTGGCAGAATAAAACTCCCAGATAATTGTGACCATGCAACCAACAGGGAGCACTCACCATCCTCCAGACCTCCGGCTCTGGGCCTGGGCTTGTTGCCTACCACTCCAGTACCTGTGTGTACCTCAGGGGTTTCAAATGTGGCTGGAGTCACATCTAAGGGAAGGAGGTTACAAGTCAGAGAAAGCGTACGTGACATTTGATGGGCTTTCCCCTTTGCTACCCACAAGGTCCTCTTACAAGGTGGTGGAGGCTCTCGAGACATCTTGCCCAGGGCAGAGCCAAATTTGATGGCAATCTGGCGCATTCGTTCCAAGTCTCCATTCTCCTCAGCCTCTAGATACTCCTTCTGTGCCTGTAGCTTCTCTATATCAGGAAAGAAATCCCTCTGGATGACTGTCTGGAGGCCCTGTCAGGAGAGACCAGAAGAAAAATGAGAGCTGCCACCTGGATTCTCCACCTTACAGTCCACTATTATACATGCTAAGTCCCTTGCAGCACCTCCTTTCACTTCTGTCTGCCCCAATAATTGGGGCTTGCTTGAGAGAGCTTAGGAGCACGTTCTGGTGAGGGTGAACATCCGATATGGTCTAACATTACTAAATACTTCTTTCATGTCCATGAGACCCTCCTCTCTCCTTTTACTGACTGGTCATTCTCATTGTCCTTTGCTGGCTCCACCCCCACACCAGCCAGACCATGGGGTGTTGCCATTCTAATTCCACCCAGGAGTTTGTTTCCAATCTGAACCTCTCGCCTGAGTGATTTCAGCTAGTCACCATCTCTACCATTAGCGGCTGGAATCCACACACCCGCACCAACCCTCCCTGCACTCCCGCCAGACCTTGCTATGGAGCTGCAAATCTGTGCACCTAGCTATGCACTAATGCCACCCATCCGCGTATCTCAGAATGTCCCAGATTTAACCGATCTCAAACAAAACGGGTTCCCCCACTCTCTGTACCAGCTCCTTCTGTATGTCTGCGGCAGGACCAACCCTTACTTCAGGAGTATCCGAAGCCCACTCAAAGATGCTGCCACAATCGCCGCCTATTTCCAGAATCCCCAGCCCTTATACTGTCTGTTACCGTCGTCGAGAAAGTCCCCTTTGTCAGTATTCTTCAAATGTGTCAAAAATTCTATTCATACTTTAAGACAGAAACTTATTTCTCTCACCCTCATCACATACCGCCCCTTTTCTACCCTGGAAACATTGCTAGTGCCCCAATCAAGACACCTCCCCCTGCACTGTTTAGTTAGCTCTTGGAACAGTCCACATCCCAAGGGCTGGGACGCGGCTGTTCCACTTCCACGAGCGGACCCGATGCTCAAGACTGGAGAGAAAGGACCCGAGAGAGGCGCGCATAGGGGGATTGACCCGGAAGTCTCCGGTGTTCCCACTGAGGTGTACCTCGATATACTCTTCCTCATCTAGAACTCGCTGCTTACTCTTCGCAGCCCCAGCCTCCCTAGCCGTGCGCTTCTCTGGGGGCCCTGACGCGCTCGGGAGCAACAGAGGCCGGCCCGAAGGTCCGGGAGTCCCCATCCCTATCCCAGAAGGGCTAGCGCGGCACAAAAGCGCCACAGGGCTTTGGGGACCAATTATGCCAGGGCTTCCAATAGCCAGCCAGCCAATGAGAAAGCAGTACTTTTCAACGACAGCCGGCGCTCCGTAATGACGCCACTAGGCGCGCTTGTTCAAGGGAGTTGTAGTCTTTCTCCCGTCCTGCATTGTTCACGGTTGTTTGGTCTGTGAACACAAGGGGACGCTGTGTTGGAAGCTGTTTGACGTGTCAAGGTAATGTCAAGTTTCAGCACTGGGGAAAATCTAAAGGCCTTGAAATTTCAATTTCTCCGAAATAATCACAACATGTGCTTAAATTATTTAAAAAAACACTCCAAAAATCTGTTTATATACACGTACCAAACTTTATGCAAGAAGAGAATCCTAAGACAATTCTTGACAGTTATCTAACAAAAGATAATTGAAAAGAACAAGATAGTAGTTTAATAAAGAAATGTCTAATTAGAGATTATTAGGCTCCTAAATGCCAGACTGAACTTCACAGAATAGAGCCAATTCTCACTGAAATGGGACAGAACACTGTCTAAGCATTTTTCAGGAATTTCTTCCCCAAAAGAGGTTGCAAACTATGTCAAACAAACAAATCCTGCCCCAGTACAATTTTGCTTTTACAATATGCAGTTATTCCTTCATCCATTGGGATCCTCAGGGGACTACATGACATCCACGGTGACGTTCCTGCCTTCAGAGAGCCGACAGTCCAGTGGAGCAGACAGACACTAGTTACATCACCCTACAAAAGAAGTGTAAAATTGCAGCATTGATGAGTTTGTTCTTGAGAGTCTTGACCTAGTGGGGAAATTCAGTGGAAGATTCTCCAAGCAGAAAGTGGTCAAAGATCCAAAAGGTGAATGGACAGGCATTGCTCAGGTGGCTGGGAGGAAAATATGCCAAGTCCTAGTGGTGTCAGGGAGCAAGGGAGATTCCAAAGCAGACTTTTGGACATACACAGAGCATGGTGAGGTGTGAGATGATGCTAAGGAGGCAAAGCCAGACTGCTCCAGACATTGTAGGTCCTGGAGAGGAGAGTTTTGTCTTTATTCTGAATTAAAGGGAGACCAGAGGAGGTACAGCCAGACAAGATGGAGAGAGCTACAATGGCCAAGCATCTGGAGTTAGAAAGTAAATTCTGGGATTTATCAATAATGTATGAATTACTGCTGTTGGGCTGGGTAAGGTGTGTGAGAGTTAAGGAGCAGTCGGGTGATCACTAGCTCTGTTCACTCACCTGGTCTGCATGGGGGAAGAGCTCACTGTGGAGAAGGTAAACCTGAGGAGCCTGTGGGCTTCCAGGTGGAGCACTGAGGGGGACAGTTTGACATAGTATGCAGTTAGGGGAGAAGCCTGGACTGGAGATATAAATATGGTGGAAAGATGAGAACTGGAGATAGACAGTGGAAAAGATGAACCAAAATAAGAATGGAGATGGGGGGAGTACTGTAGACTGAGTTGTATTAATGGTCAGCTTTCTAAGGAGCAGCTGGAGGAAGGAGACAAGTCAGGGGAGCAGTGGTGCCTGGAAGTTGGAGCTCGGGTGAGCTCTCATCATGGTTGTCCTAAACAACAAACAGCCATTCAGCCCAGGAGGACAAGGAGCCTGGAACGCAGTAAAATGAGTGTCTCAGCCTGCAGGGAAGCTGTCCAGGACACAGTCAGGTCCACAGGTAGACAATGGAGGCTTCAAGGGCAAGGCCAGGATTCAGGGGAACATTTTGTGACAGCCAGAAGTGTGTCCTGGAGAATGGAAGTGAGTACCTGTGCAGTGTTGGAGCAGCTCTAGCTGTGGGACACCATGTCTGCATGGTGTTACTTGAACTTGCTAGCCTTAGAGAGCCCAGGAGCCCTGGCTTCTGGAGTCTGGGTTCTATGGATGAGCTGTGTCTCTTGTAGATACCACTTCCTAATACACTCAGGACACTGAGGAAACAGAACAGGGTACTCAAGCCGATGAGGGGGGCGGTGGGAGTGTTGGGCACATTGAATGGGTCATCATAGGAAACAGAAGCTTGTTTTTCATGCTATCCTTCACATTGGGGCCAGGGTGGTAGAGGGGAGGACAGACATTTTCCAAGGTAGTGGGAGTGTGTTCTTCCCAATCCAACTACATCATGGGTGTCAGGATGGCTGAGTGGTCCAAGGCATGAGACTCAAGGGGTACACCAATCCAACCACATTTTGCTCCCAACTTGGGTGACAGGTTGATGGCTGCAAGAGAGGCAGATTCCACTGGACAGAAATCCCCAGAGGAAGGATGTCAAGGATTCCTATCCATGAAGAAGGTTAGCAGTGCCTAGAGACCAGAGCAGTCCCCCAGAGGCCCAGACACCTTCCCAGGGCTAGTGTGCTTGGCTGAGGGCACCTAGTACAGAGACTTCAGACTCCTGGGGTATGCTCCCAAAGACTCCCTAACTCCTCCTCACTGGGAAGGAGGAAAAAGGGGCAGCTCCCTGCTGGGTGTGGAAATGGAGCTAAGGCAGACTTGGGACTCTGTACTGTTTCTGTGGTACTTGCAGTTCTTGTTCTTGGTATCAGCACAAAGCTCAAAGCTTAAGGAGCAGGTGAAGGGGCTTGTGGAAATTACCTCATCCAACCTTATTCTGAACGTTCAGATACCAAGACCAGCAGCACAGGATCTCTGAGGTGACAGCAAGCCTGCTACCCTGCCCTGGGAGGATGGAAGACAGGTCAAGGGGCCTGTGTCCATATGAGGGAGGAGGGAGCCCAGCATGCCCTTGGGTGAGGAGGGTGACACCACTGAGAAGGATTCTGGGACCCTGTGTTTTCCAGTGGTGGTCCCTGTCCTGGATGGAGTTACGGCTGACCTGGTCTCTGTCCCATTCCCCCAGCAAGGCAATCACAGTGGTTCCTGCCTGACTGCCCCAGGGAGAACAGGACACTGAGTGTGTGGTGTTCCCTCCTTTCAGAGGCCAGTGGTGCCGGGACACACACACACACACACACACACACACACACACACGCACCCAGCACCAGTTCCAGGTGGCAAGAAACTGTGGAGAGTGATGGAAAAGGCTGCAGCGCCCCCTTAGCTTCTGTTCCTGCAGGTCTGTCCTCTCTCTGTGCAGGCCCCAAAGGTCAACGCCAAGGCCAGGAGTAGCTCCCAGCATCATCAGCTGCGCTCCTTGGGAGGTTTCTTGGGCCCTGCCAGGAGCCTTGCAGAGGCTGAGGCACGCTTCTGGTGTCTCCACTTGGCCCTTCGGTTCTTGAACCAGACCTGGGGGGGGGGGGAAGAGGAAGGGGAGGAGGAGGAAGCAGAGAAGGACTAGTCGGGAGGAGGAGGAAGGGAAACGGACTTCTCAGACCTCCAGGACCTCGGCCCGCTCCACCCCCAATTCCTGAAGGGCCCACAGGTGGCCTGGCAGGGCCTTCTAAAAGGGACCTTCTTTCCCTCTTCTGCTGCAGACAGAGGGACGCCCCCCAGCCTCCGCCCAGCGGCGACCATGATGCCCCTTCTGCAGAAGCTCTGAGCATTTCCGAACCTTCCAAAATCTGCAACATGAATAAATGCCTGCTTTATCATCAGGAAAAGGGGCAGGGTTAAAATAAAGGCAAAGAAAACTATCCTTACCTCCCCTCCAGTTCCAGTGACAATTTTCCCACACACACCTCCTCCCGCTCGGTCTCCGCCCCGGGACTGACACTGCGCGCTGCTGCTTTGCCCGGGTCCCCTTCCTCCAAGGCGCTGGGTCCCACCGTCCCGGGGCGGTGCTCAAGACCCCGCGGTCTTTGATAACGGAGGGAGCAGCGAGAGGCGCGTACCCTCTGCGCCCCCGACTCCCCGGGCGCCGGGCCGGGCACCCACCTCCACTCGTTCCTCGCGCAGGCGGATGCGGCCGGCCAGGCGCTCACGCGTGCCCACGTCGGGGTACTGGTTCTGCACGAAGAGCGCCTCCAGCGCCTGCAGCTGCTCCTCGCTGAAAATGGTGCGGTGGCGACGCGTGCGTCTCTGCGGGCCCGGGCCGCCCGCGCTGGGGAGCGCCCCCGAGCCTCCGGTCTGCGCGGCCAAGGGCGAGGGCGCCCCGGGCCCCAGCCTCAGCGGCCACGGCAGCCGCGCGCCTGCGGGGCGAGGGCGCAATGAGACACAGGAGGGAGCGGAGCTCCGCACCGATGCCTCGCCCGCGGTGAGGCGTACCCCTAGCGCTGCGCCCGCTCCGCGCCCACTCACCCAGCCCGGTGGCCGCCTCCGGGGACCTGCGGGGCGTCGCGGGCGGGACGAAGCAGCAACAGCAGGCGCAGGGCACAGCCTCTTGCACCCCGGGCTCCGCAGATTCTGCGGGGCTCTGGCGACCGGCGGGCAGCGGGGGCCGGGCGGCTCGGCCCCGGGGGCTTCGCTCGGGCAGGCTGGAGAGAATGTGCTCGATGGAGAAGGGGCAGGGCCGCCCCGGGCCCCTGCGGCTGGCCGCGCCCCTCGCCGCCGCCATGCCCGGCCGGGCTGGGGACCGCCGCGCGGCAGGAATATATACGTCGGGGGGAGTGCGCGGTAATCCCCGGGCCGGGCGCCGAGTCCACGCGGGCTAATCCCGTCGTGCCGGCCGGAGCGCGCTAATCCTCGACTTTGGCGGCGGCGGCGCGGAAAAGCTTGCTCCGCCCGGGCGCCCGGGGGCGGCCGCCTGTGGGGGAAGAGCCCTGCGCCCCCTCGAGGTCCTCCCGTCCACTCAGGCTCGGCTTACGAGCGTGCAGGGCGACCCCAGGGGGAAGGCGTGGAAGGTCGCTTCCCCTTTCTGTAGCCAGTCGCCCGGCAGACACTTGGCCCGGCAGTCCCCCAAAGCGTGGCGGCGGCCCTAGACCCTGCCCCTGCTGTGCTTCTCCAGGCCAGGACTGACGCCTTGACCTTTTTGAGCCCCTTTCGTGACAAGTGAGCACTTCTGGAGAAACCCACGCAAGCCACGCAGGCTCCTGACCTCCAAATTCCTGGTCTCAAGCCTCACATGGGGCCCAGTACCCTGGGCAACCCGGTGATCCCACCGAACTTGGCCCCAAACTCCTCACCCACTTTGGAGCCTACGTCTTAGTCTCAGCCATTCTGAAGGAAGGGAGCTGTGGCTGTTCCTTGCCCCCAATTCTCTGCCTTCTCTCTTGGGTCAGGGAAAGCTTCCCACCCCGTCCGAGGTCTGGCCTCCTGCTTTCCCCGAGAGACATCCATCCATCACAAGAATCACAAGGGTAGGACAGAGGATGTAACTCAGCTCAGTGGTGCTGCACCTGTCTGGCAAGCACAAAGTCCTGAGTTCGATTCCTGGTCCGAAGCTAGGGGGAGGGGAGAATAACAATGGAGTCTAGTATACACCCCTGAGATTCACTAGGATCTGACACCAACAGGAATATATGGAACAACATGGGTGAATCTCAAAGATACCACCCTGTGTGAAAGACGTTAGTCACAAGCCGGGAATGATGGCACACGCCTGTAATCCCAGCAACTGGGAGGTGAGGCAGGAGGATTGCCATGAGTTTGAGGCTAGCCTGAGATACATACTGAGTTCAAAACCAGAGTGGTGGTGCATGCCTGTAATCCCAGCACTTCATTCAGAAGGCTGAGGCAGGAGGATCACTGCAAGTTTGAGGCCAGCCTGGGCTACATAGTGAGTTCAAGACCAGCTTGAACTGCATAGTGAGACCCTGTCTCAAAAAAAAAAATTCAGTTACAAAAGGTTACACATGCTATGTGATTGTATTTATATAACAATTTTACAAAGGCAGTGGTAACCACCAATAACAAATCAGTGATTGGGGTGAGGGAAGAGCATCAGGCACCTTTTTGGGGGTGAGGAAAGTGTTCTCTGTCCTGATGATGGTGGGGTTTTATAAATCTATACATTATTAAAACACATGGGGCCGGGGATTTAGCTCAGTGGTTCCGCCACCTGCCTTGCAAGTGCAGGGACCCGAGTTCAATCCCCGGTACAAAACATAAAACAAAAAGCACATGGAATCATACACCAAAAAAATTCAAATTTACTGTATGTTAGTTTACAATTAAAATGAGAAAATTGGGCTGGGGATGTAGCTGAGCAGTAGAGCTCATGTTTAACATGTGCAAGTCTGTAGATTCTATCTCCAGTACAAACTAAATAAATAAATAAAATCAGAAAATTCAATTAAAAAGATTCAGGACTAGCTAAGGAGATCCCCATCTCAGAGATGGTAGAAAGTGGCCTGGCATGGTGGGACACACCTGTAGTTCAAGCACTCTGGAAAACTATAGCAAAAGAATAACAAGTTCAAGGCCAGCCTGGACAACTCATTGAGACCCTAGCTCAGATTACAAATATAAAGAAAGGTTGGGGATGTAGCTCAGTGCTCCCCCGGTTCAATCCTAGTACTGAATAACAATAATAAAAGAAACATAAACCAAGATTCTAAGAGCCCAGAGGTCTGGGGCACGCTGGGCTATCCTCTCCAAAGTAAAGGGCAATTTACTGTACCCTGTCTGCCTGCTACTAAGAAAGAATGCAATTCAAGAGGTGTCTTTGTGCTTTGGAGGCATCAGAAAACTTGGGAATCATGCTACAAGGGATTTTTGGGTAGAGCCAAGGGCAGGAAAGAGGTCTGCAGCAGTCTGTAGTAGCTGGGATTATAGGTATGTCCCACCATGCCCAGCCTCTATGTCCTTCCCTGTAGTCCAGCCTGGCCTTTAAGTCAAGGTGATCCTCCTGCCTCAGTCTCCCAAGTGCTGCAATTACAGGTGTGTGTCACCATGCCTGGTCTTTCTCCTTCCCCTCCCCTCCCCTCTTCCTTCCTTCCTTCCTTCCTTCCTTCCTTCCTTCCTTCCTTCCTTTCTTCTTTCTTTCCCTCCTACCTGTGATGGTAAGTATTGGTATATGTGCTGCCGAAGCGAGCACAATATAAACCACTTTTTTTTTTTTTTTTTGGTACTGGGGATCAAACTCAGGTCCTTGTGCTTGTGCAGCAGGCGGCGAAACCACTGAGCTAAATCCCCAGCCCCTGTGATGGTAAGTATTGGACTCAGGGCCTCTCTTATGTTACGCAAGCACTTTACCATTGAGCTATACCTCCAGTTCTTTTTTTTTTTGTTCTGTTTTTAAAATTTTGATATAGGGTCTTGCTAAACTGCCCAGTGTCTTACTTACTTTTCTCATTTCTGAGACAAAATATCCAGCACCCAAAGTTAAAGAAAAAGAGTTTATTTCAGCTCACAGTTTGTAGTGGTTTCAGTCCATAATCGACTGGCTCCAAGGCAGGGTGGCATGGCAAAGGGGCATCACAGAAGAGAAATAGTTCTTGTAGGCAGAAGGCAGCAAAGCAGCAAATGAATCATAGCAGCCTTCTTTCTGTCCCTTATATTCTATCCAGGCTACACACCCTTAGGGCAGGTAGCACTCACACCTAAGGTGGGCCTTCCCATTACCAGAACTATGCCAAACCAATCAGTGGACTGATTTAGGAATCACACACCTTGGTCCCAGCATCACACACTTAATCCCAGCATCACATACCCTAGATCCAGCCACCTCTGAAAAGCTCCACCTATGACCATATGCAGCTTGGGGGACATCTTGATAGAAGCCATAACACCCAGGCTGGGCTCGAAATTTTTGACATTCTTGCCTCAGCCTCCTGAGTAGCTGGGATTACAGATGTGTGCCATTGTGTCCAGCTAAGTGGCTATATTTTTTTCTTGAAGGCTCTGTGAAATAATCTAGTCTTTTGCCTTTTTTAGTGTCTAGAGGCCTAGACAATTTAGCAAGACTCTGTCTCAAAAAATAAAAAAGGAAAGGGAGGGCCAGGGATTAAGCTCAGTGGCTCGGGGCCTACCTGACAGGTACAAGGTCCTGAGTTTGATCCCCAGTACCAAAAAAAAAAAAAAAGAAAGAAAGGGCTGGCAAGACAGCTCAGTGAGAAGGCTCTGGGCTCAATCCCCAGTATTGCAAAAAGAAAGAAAGAGATGAAAGGAAGGAAAAGAAAAGAGAAAGAAAGACTAAAATGGACTTAATACATTGAAGGAAATTTGGAGAAGGCAGGAAGAGAGGAATTGAGGAATAAATACATAAATAGGAGAAAGAGAAAAACTAGCAAAATGGTAGACCTAAATTCAGCTGCATCAATGCTAAATGTAAGTGGATCAATCTGGGTGTGGTGGTGCATATCTATAATCCCAGATACTAAGGAGAATCTCACATTTGAGATCAGCCTAGGCAATTTAGTGAGACCTTGTTTCAAAGTAAAGTAAAAATAAAGGGCTGGGGATATTATCTTTGAGAGGTAGAGCACTTGCTTAACATACACAAAGAAGCGGGTTCAAATCCCCAGTACTGGAAAAAAAGTTAAATGGATTAAACATGTTGCCATGGTTACAATGTTTTGAATCATCTAAAAAAATTCAACCATTTCAATACAGTGATGAAAAGCTATGCTCAAAGGCATACACCTACACATCCCCACCCCAGATGTCAGGTTCCCACTCCATCATTAGGGACCTGACTTTTTCTCCTCCCCCAGACTGGGGATTAAACCCAGGCCCTTGGGCATGCTAGGCAAGAGCTTTACCACTACCCATATCCCCAGCCCTTTAAAAATTTTTGATAGTGTCTCATTAAATTGCCCAGGCTGGCCTTGAACTTGTGATCCTCCTACCCTAGCCCCAGAGTGCTAGGATTACAGGCAGGTACCACCATGCCTGGCCCTTGACTTTTTTTTTTTTTTTTTTGTGACTTCTGCGGGACATTTTTAAAATTAAGTTTATTGGTACATTTTCCATATACACTATGATGACATTCATCATAGGGAGTTTGTACCTGTACATGATATATCTTGAGTCTTCTTTTTCTCCGTTCCCCTCCTCTCCCTTCAACCCCTCTTCTCCACCTTATTTACAAAAGCTTTGCTTCCATTTTTCCTTGTTTTTCTTTTCCCTTTCTTCCTTTCCCGCTCCCCTCTCCCTAGCTCCCCTTCCCATTTAAATATTTTCTTCCTATTTCACAATATCTATTATACATTTTGGTCCTTATTTATGCTTTTGGTTTCATCAGAGAAACAATCCAATATTTACACATGTGTGTCTGATTTATTTCACTTAAGAGCATCTGGGCCGGGGATTTAGCTCAGTGGTTTTGCCGCCTGCTGCGCAAGTGTAAGGACCCAAGTTTGATCCCTAGTACCAAAAAAAAAAGTATCTGGCCCCTGACATTTTAAAAATTAATTTTTATGTTTATATATACTTAATTGACAGATAATAATTGTACATAATTGTGGGTACAGTGTGGCATTTCAATATATAAGGTGAAATGATCATCAGGATAACTGGCACATTGGAGCCCTGACTTTGATGCAAGAACTTGAGTAGGTTGAGGTCCTGCCTGCTGGAGCTTGTCCATGTTCTGCTAAGTGCAGTGCCTCCTTTTTCTTCATGTCTGCTCTTCACTTGCAGCATCTCTGAAGTGGGCCAGGTGGGCCCTGACAT